GGAGACCACAGCACCATCATCCTGACCTTCCTCAAGAGAAGCTGCTTGCTTGTTCCTGCCAAATAACTTGTCTGGACAAATGTAGTTCTTTTCATGGAAGGCATGCATAAGGAGGTATTCGTTACGTTCAGAACGGCCGCCAAGGAAGGTACGAGACAAGAGGTTGCCAGCCAGTGAAGTGATCTGAAGAGCTAGAGGAAGAGCGTTCAGCTCTACAGCTATGCGTAATGCAGCCTCTGCCTGAGTCATGCCTGTGTTGACCAGACCCAGGATACTGGAAGATGAGGTGTACAGAGAGGGAATCTGGTGAGGGTCAATGACTGGAAGTTGGTGTTGGTTCAATAGCTGGATGGTCAATTCATTCAGGTCGTAACTCCTGGCCCTGATCAATTCCTGTGCAGATATCTTAACATCGCACACCAGCCTTCCACAGGTTAGTAGCCTCCCATCTCTGTTGCCAGGCTTAAGCATGGCTGCCCTGCGGAGCCGGCCAAGTTTGGACCACTGCGGGACCTTGTGGTGCACAATCCTCTGCAGGAGCAGCTCCAGATCTGAGCCAACAATGTCATGGCCCACGATGAGATCAGGGTCATGTTTGGCAACCTGTGCTGCTAGAAGGTTGAGCAGGTTTCGCTCAGAACTTGTCTGCTTGATCAGCGTGCCCTTGTAGTCGGCCAATCTGGAGGAGAAGTCGAAGGGGAAGATGCTGTTGCTTGGCTTGCTCAAGGCACAGAAGTGATTCTGGTAGGGCGGGTTGGGGGGAGCTTTGTTGAGTGGGAACTCAGTGTGGATGAGGCAGGAGGCCGACACAATTTCCTGCTGGAGAGGGTTGGAGGTGGGGCAGGCTTGGAAGTTGAGGGCCATCACAACCAACGGAGGCAACGGTAGATTGCAGTCGCTAGCCACAGAGATAGAGTCCAGTCTCTGAGAGGTCACTTCCACCTTGCACCATGAGACCGGTGGATTTGACGGCTGTGGATAGGCTACATCAAGCCAACAAGGGCCACGCATGCGTGACTCCAAGAGCAGCAATTCCAAGCCTGTTGTTGCACTGCCAAAGACATGGCTGAAAGTCTCTCCCTCCAAATCTGCAGGTAGGGTGGGGTAGGTGGCAGAATAACGTACCAGCAGGTAATCTGAATGCTTGGGGACACCAGGTTTCCCAAATACATAGGACATCTTGCAGGGCTTTGACCTGAACTCCGAGATGTTGAACTTTGAGGCAATTTGATCATTAAACTCAAGATAGACATCCTTCATGGTAACTTCTTGGTCCATCTCTGCTTTAGCTTTGAGATTGTAGCGTTTGATACGTGGAAGCAAGTACACCTTCCTCTCAACATTGCGGACAATCACACAACAGCTCACGTGGCTCTTAGCTTCCTTCAGCCATACCTTCCCAAAGAGGTAGATCACACCTGGGTGTTTCAAATGGTCCTCATAGGCATCCAGCCAGAAGAATCTGAAGACAGATTCCCCTTTGGAGTTGGTTTCAAGAGGCAGGTTGGAGGAATCAAAGGTGATTTCTGGAGCTAGAGGAGCCTGATTGGGTCCAGACCATTCAGCTTCCTTCCATTCTGGCTCTGCTGGTTCTGGGATGTGTTTTGGCTTTTCTGGCGAAATTTCAGCCAACTCTTCAGTAAACTCCTCTGAGAAGTCAAGCTGCATCTCCTCCAGACACTGGGATTCAAAGAGATCTTGACTCTGCAGGGAAGTTTGGCTGAGAGCCGGCAATTCTCCTTGATCCATCGGAACCTCTGAATTCTCCTTTCCAATTTCCTTGTAAGCAGTTGACTGAAGCGGTTTTGGTTTCTCAACCGCTGGCTTTGGAAATAGGACGGTCTTAGGTGGTGCCCTAGGAGCTGGCGGAGGGACATTCTCATAGTTGATCACTCTTGGCCGGGGAGCAGCTGGTGAAGGCTTGTAGGGAGTCTTCTTAAACTGGCTGTTGGAAATTGGTTTTGGTTTGAGAACCGCCGATGGAGATGGTTTAGCAGTGGGCTGGTTGTGAATGTTGTTCAGAATATCTCCAAGGAGAGCATCCTCATCCAACTTAATATCCTGCTCCTGCTTCTTTTTGGGAGCTGCGGCAAAGAGGCTCTTGATATCACTTCCTTTGGAACCTGTGGCAGTCCTCTTGGAAGGTGGTTCAAAGCGTTTGCTGGAGCTCTTTTTAGTCTTAGAGGATGTCTCTTTCATCTGATCCATATCATCATCAAATATTTCCCGCCCATCTTCCACATATCCTGAGCCATCATCATCAACGATCCAATCATCATCTTGTCTTTCCTGTACCATACGTGAGTACTCCCGCTCTTCCACTAATTCATACACATCCTCTTCTTCCCTGATCTCATACTTGTTCTTCTTCCCTCCTTTCAGATTCTTCAGTTTCTCTAGAGCTTGGGATCGACCGGATCTGTCTGCTTTCTGTCTTCTGGATCGTGAAGAGGAATCTAGAAAAAAAAATGCAAAAACAAGATTAGGCAGAATTTTGGAAGCAAATCATGAATTTTTTTTAAATATGTTTTTAGAATGAAATTCTTTATGACTGTTTAATAGAAATGAGTGGTTTTAGGGGAAATCATCAGAAAGTTTCATGAGGAAATAACTTGTGATTCAATTTGGACACAAATCAGTTTTTTTTTTTTCCTTAAGAGCAGATGCTCAACTTCTGACAAATAAAATCTGAGCTTAGTATACTAAAGATTTAATATTCAAAATTATGTTTATAATTATAGTCTAATATTCTTGTCCACTATGCACCTAATTTTTTACTACTTAATTTTTCAATTCTGGTTTTAAATTTTCCTTTTTTTTTTCACTTTCAATTATTGCAATAATTTTTTCTTTTTCATGCATATTCCTTCACAAGAAATATTATCACCCATTACCACTCATTAAAAAACAAAAAACAAAAGAAATGAATGATTTGCATCCAAATTCAACCACATCTTGTTAAATACATTTTTTTTTTGTAAAAAGTAGAAGATAGCACTCGCTAAAGGGCAAGTGGTTTACTGAGAGGTTCTACTGTAATAAAAAAAGAAAAGATATAAACAATTATTATACAATGTGAAAAACACAAGGTAATAAGACCAAATCCAAATAAATAAATAGTGTGTAGCATTTCGGTAACAGCGTTGTTACCATCTTCAGACAAAAGTACTGAAACAGTTCAGTTCAGTACTTTTGTCTGAAGATGGTAACAACGCTGTTACCGAAACGTCACACACTATTTATTTATTTGGATTTGGTCTTATTACCTTGTGTTTATAATCTATAATCCAAATTGTGTTTTATCACAATGTGAAAAAATAGTACAAAAGTCAAATTTTACAGGGACCAAGTAGATAAATTAATATGATGCACTAGCGCGCTTGTTATCAAAAAATTTGAAACTATTTTAAAGGCGTAAGATTATTTTTGAAATTAAACAATTTTAAACTGGTGAAACTGCTGGGAGGGTTCACCACTGATGAGCCAGGCCCTCCCATTAATTTTTCCATTGCAGTAAGGGCAGTAGAAATTGTTTAATTTTAAAAAGAATCTTACGCCTTTAAAATATAGTTTCGAATTTAGATAAATTAATAAAAAGGTATCTCCTAATTGTATAATTAAAAGTTACTTATGGCTTGTGCAACCTCTGTCAGAATAAACACTAATTGTTGATATAAATGAAATAAAAACAAATTGTTGACTTTTAATTATTCCAGAAAATGATAAAAGCACAATTTAAATTAATAGATTATAATACAAGAAAATAAGACCTAATCATTTATTCTTTTGTCTGATGATGGTGACAATGCTGTTGCCGTCACACACAAATAAATTATTTGGATTAGGTCTTCTTGTATTATTCCAGAATAATTTTAAAAATCAACAATTAATTGATATTTATTCCAACAAATGGCGGAAGCTATCAGCAACTTTTAATTATACAATCAGGAGATGCCTTAATTATTATACATACTGTCATATTTTTTTAATGGGTAAAAAGGCATTTGGTATAAATAGGTAAACAAAAATTGTAAATAGGACCAAGGCGCTATAACTGTGAAGTGTTTGACAATACTAAGAACAAAAAAACCCTACACCCAATGGATGTTGCACAAAAAACCCTGAAAGCAGTTATACTATAATAATATAAATAAAATACTAGGTTTTTTTTTTAATTATCTCTAGTAGATGTGGGTACAGATCATGATAATCATGGTGAGTAAAACAAAAGGATTTAAAAGCGCGAATGTTTCTTTTATACATAAAACGAACTTATACTGTCCTTACTGCGATTAAAAAATATATTGGGAGGGCTTGGCTCATCAGTGGTGAACCCTCCCAGCGGTTTTGCCAATTTAATCCACCAGACCGCTTCTCAGAGCTCTAATACTGTATTGGATCGCAGTAAGGACAGTAGAAGTTCGTTTTATGTATAAAAGAAACATTCGCGCTTTTAAATCCTTTTGTTTTATATGAATAGATGGCGCGTTATTGCTTTGTGTTAATGGTGAGTAAAAGTTTGCAACTGCTTTTACTATAATGCACCACATGTCTACACATGTGAAAAGCAGTTTGACTTTTGTATGTACAAGTGTGCCAGAGCCTCATTTGGTTACTTTTCACTTACTGGTGGGGTTGGACTTTTAAAAGAATCAGGGGCCTTTTTGAAACTTTTTTTTTTAGAAAAAAGGTGCCCAAAATGGGATTTGATCCCAGGTGATGGCGGTCAAGAAACAACGGTTTAGACCAATCAATAAGTTTAAACCTTTTTTTTTTTTTTGCTTATCCCTAGTACACGTGGGGTACAGGCCATGATAATCATGGTGAGTAGTTAGCGACTGCTTTTACTGTAAGTGCACCACATGTGAAAAGCAGTTCGACTTTGCACTTACAAATGTGCCAGAGCCCCGTTTGGTTAATTGCACTCGTTGGTGGGGTTGGACTTTTGCAAGAATCGGGGGCCATTGGAGCATTTTTTATTTTTTTTTATCAGAAAAAAGTGCCCAATGCGGGAATCGAACCCGGGTCGTAGCGGTCGAAAACCAACAGTTTAGACCAATCATCCCCCAATAAGTTTAAACCTAGACAGTTTAGCCAATAGAGCACTCCAATTCTAGCCATGATAGTCCTATTTACAGTAGTGTTAATGCTGACTCTCTATTACCATCTTGGTCCAATTTCTTTATTTGTTATTTTAATTATCATAGAATTGAATGAAGGGTACATATTCTATTTTTAGATTGGTTAAACATCACCCCACTCAGCATAATACCAATTACACTAATTAGAAAAGATGTGAACCCCTCCTCTACGTGATGGGAAGGAGAAGCAGCACAAGTAAGGGACTGCCCTGTAGTACGGTGTCGTGAGTCGCTACGGTAACCGTGAACAGGGAACTCTGGAATGTGGTTGACTAACAGGGCAATGGCATCCCCCATTTGATGGAGCAGCAAAATCACACAACCAGAGAAGATGTGAAAGTCTTTTCACATTCTTTGGTTAAACTTTTAACAAAGAACTTTTATTCATTCAATTAAAATGACTAAATTCTACATCAGGGAATCACATTATAACATTTATAGCAGCAACCTGGCTATAACAATTACAATTCTAAAGTCCCAATTGTTTTAACCATGGTTATAACAAGATAAAATTTTGAAAAAAATAGTACAAATGTGAAATTGTACTGGGATAAGGTGGTTAAATTAAAAAAAAAAAGCATCTTAATCTAAAATTTGCTGATGGCTTGCGCCATATCTGTCAGAATAAATATCAACTATAATTAAGAAAAAGGCATCTTCTCAATTATAATTGACTAGACGAATCACCCGGGCAACGCCCGGGTTTACCCGATTAAATGTTTTATTCAAACACTAATCGTTACAATTATAAATTGGCGCCGTGGATGTCACTCTTGTGAAATGTCCCGCTCAAACTTTACAGTCAGATTAGTTACGATATAAATCTTCAAATCGAGCGAGAGTCTATAAATATTTCGATTTAGATCAAGTATTCTAATTAGTAAGCGAACTATTATTAATAAAATTTTGAAAAGATTTCGATTTTAAACGTATTTATAACCTTGATAGAGGGCGCTGTTCGTGAGCTAAGTAGAATAATTTGAATATATAGTTTTAATATTTAATTTATGAACGGAAAAATATGTCCAGGGTAGCCTAGTGGTCATGGCATCTGCCCGGTAAGCGGAAGGTCGTGGGTTCGATTCCCATCCCTTGACACTTTTTTTATTTTATCCATTCTGACCAAAATCTATCCGTGAACTTCACACAGACAGAATAAGGCAATTATATAAGTAGATATTTATTCCAACAGATGGCGCAAGCCATCAGCAACTTTCATTTGTACGATAAGGAGATGTCTTTTTCTTAACAAGAGAAAATTTTGGTGCTGAGTGATGTTAAAACAAGGTTCTATTATTCAAGTTGTAGACTCATCAACTTTTTAAAAAATTTTATTGTCCTGATTTTTCAATGATCCACTGTTGCCCTTTTTGAAAGATGGAAAACTCCGCCTTTGCCGGTCCCAAGCCCGGATGAAAAAGGAGGAGGGGGAGCAGTAACAAGCTCACTAAAAAACCTGGGCTCAGCTGGCCCGGCTGATAGTACCCTGTTAGGGCTCCTAATCCAGGGATACAGGATGAGCAGCGTTTGTACTCCATGTTAGGAGTGGCTGTACATGGCATCTGTTCCTCATGTCAGAGGCGGCCATTTCTTTTGGAGCTAAGTGGGCCTGCCACTGAGTAGTGCTCCCAGTCTTAATGACAAAGGCATTCTACTTCACCCAGTGTGGAGATAAGAAAGAAGAAAGATGGAAAGCTTATTAGAGAACAATACCTCACTATTAAGCTTTCCAACTTTTTTTAAAAGGACGATAATGGGTCACCGAAATGTCTAAAGACAATAAACATTTATAAAAAGGTTGATGAAGTCTTCAACTTGAATTATAGATAACTTTGTCATGTTACTTTTGTTTGACAGTTTTTTGGAATTATTTTTACCAACTCTGAAATGTGTTTACCTTCAAACAAGGTAGAGTTACGGAAAGAAAGAAAGCTTACCCAATCTCTCAACAGCATAGACCACAGTGGAGCCGCTGCCGACTCCAACCACTGAGTTGTCCTGAGGAACAGACAGCAACAATTAGACAGTTATGTGTGATAGAGGTCATGAGAGAATTTCTTGAGGAATTGTGTCATATTTTTTTCCCACTAGAAATAAGATTGCTGGTCAGGCAATCTTTATCTTTCTATCCATTTCTCTTCAGCCCATAGGTTGGCTGTTCTCTCAGAGCTTCCTTTCTATGGCTTGTCTTTTGATGGTATCGTAGGGTCTATCTATATCTCCTCAACCAGCTATAGGTTGGTGGCTGTCAGTATTCCTGTCCTCTCAGAGCTTTCTTTATATGGCTAGTCTTTTGATGGTATCGTAGGGTCTATCTATATCTCCTCAACCAGTCATAGGTTGGTGGCTGGCAGTATTCCTGTCCTCTCAGAACTTCCTTTCTATGGCTAGTCTTTTGATGGTATTGTAGGGTCTATCTATATCTCCTCAACCAGCCATAGGTTGGTGGCTGGCAGTATTCCTGTCCTCTCAGAGCTACTTCCTTTCTATGGCTAGTCTTTTGATGGTATCGTAGGGTCTATCTATATCTCTTCAACCAGCCATAGGTTGGTGGCTGGCAGTATTCCTGTCCTCTCAGAGCTACTTCCTTTCTATGGCTAGTCTTTTGATGATATCATAGGGTCTTCTGAAATTGTTCACAAATTCCATTCTCAGCCTTCTATTCCTCCAGTAATACTATTAACCACTCCGAATCTGAATAAGATGTCTAAACATGTTGGTTCACTTCCTCTCAATCTTTTCCTGAAGGCTATATCCTTCCTCAATTACCAAGGCTAACAATTCGTGGTATTCTCATTATTTGGCACCACATTTCGAGAGCCTGTACCCTTTCTGCTCCTTTAAGAGTCTTAGATCTCCTTTATTTTCAAGTCAAAGGTGACTAGAGCATGGTTTTCAAAGAGGTGTGTCTTGGTAGACAAGTGTATCATGAATATGGAGTCTCCAATTTACATTGTCACAATCAAATCAAAGACGATAAGGTACAATTTGAATTATAGATTAGAACTACAAGTTGAAAAAGACCAAATCCAAATAAATAAAGTGTGTGACATTTGGATTTGGTCCTATTACCTTGTAGCTCAAATCAAAGACAAAATGTGTTATAATGTTGCAAAGCTTCCATTATATTTTTCTTTAAATGCAAACTCAATTAACCCTCTATAGATCAATTTATTATTTTATTTAGTTTTTTTTTTTAAATCAATACACTTAAATCAAAACGACACAATGGACAAAAAAAAAAGAATGTACGTAGCTGTCAGCAAAATCCATGCATTGTGTGAAGCAAGTGTGATAAATATATACTGTTGGTTTAGAGACTTTTTCAAAGAATTTTATAAACATAAGGTAATAGGACCAAATCCAAATAAATAAATAGTGTGTGGATTTGGTCTTATTACCTTGTGTTTATAATCTATAATCCAAATTGTGCTTTATCAAAGAATTTTATATTGCTCTGGCTTTAGTTTCACTAATTCTTAATACTGTTCCATAAATAATTGATATGAAGCTGGAGGTAATGAACCAAGGAAAGGATTGTTTGATCATCTAATAGAATGGACTTTCTCGAGATGAAAGCTGTATTATAAATTTATCTTAAGCTAAATAACATAGTCCTATGGCCCATCACACAGATGCCGTGGAAAACTTAATTAAACCTAGATACAAGAGACGGTACCTAATAAAACCTCAAACCTGGAAAATTTTAGCAGCATGAGAATTACAGCAGAACCTCTCTAAAGAAGATCTAGTTACAAAACCAAAGTGTATCTAAAAGATAAAGCACAATTTGGATTATAGATTATAAATACAAGGTAATAAGACCAAATCCAAATAAATAAATAGTGTGTGACGTTTCGGTAACAGCGTTATTACCATCTTTAGACAAAAGTACTGAATGACATTCAGTACATTTAAAGTACAGTACAGTAATAGATTCAGTACTTTTGTCTGAAAAGGGTAACAACGCTGTTACTGAAACGTCACACACTATTTATTTATTTGGATTTGGTCTTATTACCTTGTGTATCTAAAAGAGATGTGTCCTCTTACTAGAGATCTACTAAATACAATAGAACCTCCATGTAAGGTCACTCACTAGAAGACAACTCACATACAGAGGACAGTTTTCTTCTCACCAAAATGATCATATTTACTACAGTAGAACCTCCTTGTAAAGGACAGCTTGTTGCAGAGTGTCCTTTAGAGAGAGGTGTCCTCTTACTAGAGATCTACTAAATACAATAGAACCTCCATGTAAGGCCACTCACTAGAAGACAACTCACATACAGAGGACAGTTTTCTTCTCACCAAAATGATCATATTTACTACAGTAGAACCTCCTTGTAAAGGACAGCTTGTTGCAGAGTGTCCTTTAGAGAGAGGTGTCCTCTTACTAGAGATCTACTAAATACAATAGAACCTCCATGTAAGGCCACTCACTAGAAGACAACTCACATACATAGGACAGTTTTCTTCTCACCAAAATGATCATATTTACTACAGTAGAACCTCCTTGTAAAGGACAGCTTGTTGCAGAGTGTCCTTTAGAGAGAGGTGTCCTCTTACTAGAGATCTACTAAATACAATAGAACCTCCATGTAAGGTCACTCACTAGAAGACAACTCACATACAGAGGACAGTTTTCTTCTCACCAAAATGATCATATTTACTACAGTAGAACCTCCTTGTAAAGGACAGCTTGTTGCAGAGTGTCCTTTAGAGAGAGGTGTCCTCTTACTAGAGATCTACTAAATACAATAGAACCTCCATGTAAGGCCACTCACTAGAAGACAACTCACATACAGAGGACAGTTTTCTTCTCACCAAAATGATCATATTTACTACAGTAGAACCTCCTTGTAAAGGACAGCTTGTTGCAGAGTGTCCTTTAGAGAGAGGTGTCCTCTTACTAGAGATCTACTAAATACAATAGAACCTCCATGTAAGGCCACTCACTAGA